ACACCTGTCAAGCCAGGCCAGCATGCCCTTGGCAGCCCCTATCAGCTCCACCACAGCGGTGAGGAACACGTTAGGTGGTTTGTTTGGACTTCCTCCATCATAAGAAGGGTTTTTCCTGCGCTCTGACGCACAGTTGTGCAAGTTGTTGGATGCTGCTCGCATCTGACCTACCAGAGTCTTCAAGTTATCAGTTTCCACGCCACAGTTCTGCAACAACAAATAAGCATTCACATTAGTCATTTTAGATTAAACTAGATTTTTACATCTAAAGAAAGTGGTGCTTTTCCATTCCAAAGTCGATGACACAATGCTACCCTATTGGGTGTTACTACAGTGCTATGTTTTAGCGTGTTGCTTTGCAGTTGCTAGGGTGTGTTGGATGGTTGCTTACTGGCCCAAGTAAAAAAAAAAAGAGCCCAATTCCAAGAGAGATAGATTTGTAGATACTCTTGTGAAAAATAAGTATACTTTAGCCTACCCTTAAAAAGAGTAAACAAAAATACTGTAATATATATATATATATATATATATACACTTAAAGGTTGATAGTCCCTTTGATATGTGTTAAAAATCCATTTAAATTTCTGTTACCGCACCAGTCAGCTGCAGTCCTGGTGTCTCTCAAAAAGTGTCTTCCTGCTGTGAAAGAAGAAAATATGTTTGGTGTATATACCCACATTCTTCAAAATATCTTCTTTTGTGTTGTACAGAAGAAAGAAACTCATACAAATTTGGAACAAATGAGGGTGAGTAAATGATTTTCATGTTTTGTTTTTTTTTGTGAACTATTCTTTTAAGTGCGAAATGAATGTAATAATTTTTTTCAGACACTCGATGCAGTAGCATGTTAACAGCAATTAAATGAAAATGTACTAAACTGTAGTGCTGAAATTTAAAGTGCTTTTTTGACCCACCAGTTGTCACTGAAATATGGTTAAAGTGTGCTGCCGAATATACTGATAAGCATTTATGATCAACTATTAATCTCTATTGAAGCTTGTATGTTATGCATTTAAATATATTTTGTAATTACACACTTGTAATGATCAAGTTCTAGTTTAGTACATATACTAACTTAAAATATCAAATAACGCACTACAGTTAAAATTAGTTAGACAACACATCAGAATAAGTGTATTTGTTTAAAGCAAGTTAAAAGATTATTAAAACATGATGATTAAAAAAAAATACTTTACAACACTACACTTTTGCAATTAAGTGTTTTATAAAACAGTTATGAAAGTGTCTTAATATTATCTAAGAACTGTTTTTAAAAATATACTTTTAAGATTTGAAGTACTCTACATGTGCAAGCTGTCCCATTTTACTGTCAGGCTGAAGTTTAAAACTTAGGTTTAGGGGTTTGTTCAAATCCCTAATCATAAGCAATAATAACAGTGATGCTAACAGTACCACAAACAAATGCCTCGCTTATCAAGCGCTAAAGCAGTTTCCGTTTGTGTATCTTCCACTTTAATGATATGAAATGTGAAGTATGTGGTGTTTGTAATGCCATGTGACAGTGGCTACAGTGCACGGGTCATTCTCACAACCTTTCCAGCTAAAAATCCCATCACATTCCATCGCACCGGTCAGAGCTGTCGCATGAACATGGTCACTGCCTGACTTCAAAGGGATTCCAGAAAGCCGTCTCTGCCCTAAACCCAGCCAGACACTGACCGACAGACTTGAAGTCTGCCAAAAAGTGCAGAGCCTTTGGCCTGGTCAGCTCCAACAACACAGAATACAAGTGTTTGAGAGAAATATTAACCTGCACTGAGTTCAAGGAGGATGCAGGTGCTCTTCTGGAATCTTCTCCTGTTGTTTTTGTATTATAACAAAGCTTTAGCTATGATGAGTTCATGATGGCAGAATTATTAAAGGAATGAAAAGGGGTAATCCACCCTCTGTTCATTTCATGCTGCCCTCTTCAACTGCCAGAAATTAAGAGCAGAATCTCTCACAGCGTCAAAATACGCTGGAGCAAGGGACGAGGAGACGAGAATACGTGGAAATTTCACAAAACGAGAGTCTTTAATAATCCAACAGGGAGACAGAGCACAAGGAAGACGTTCACAACAAGTAGACCCGACGAAGAACTAAGGAACAGACAGGAACTTACAAACACAGGATAATTACAAACACAGGTGAGCAGAATCATCAATCACTAAACAAGAACAGGAAACATGACCAAAAAAGGAAAACAGGAACTAAGACAGAGGTAAAACAGGACAGACAGTCCAGAATCTTGACATTACGCCCCCTCCCAGAAGGCGCGTCCTCGCACCGTAGAACAACAGAGGGGGGGCACGGGTGGGAACTTAGGAGGAGGCTCAGAAGGAGGACAGACACCCGGGAGGGGGCCGGCAGACAGAGTCCAGGGAGGTGATGATGGAGGGAGGAGCCAGGGAGGAAACAGGAGGAACTTGGAGCAAGAGGAGCCAAGCAGGACCCAGTCCACAGCCATAATGGTGGCCCATGGTGGAGCCGACGGAGGGAGGAGCCATGGAGGAGGAATGCCCGCTGACTCCAGGGGGCTGACCAACGACGGCGGAGCAGGTGGTGGAGGAGCCCGAGGCGGAGACGGAGAGCCAGGG